AGGGAAATCTGGGCCACTAGAATGGAATGTTACAAGTGCTGTGGTGAGAGACGTACTCAGGACTTCCAATCATTGTCAAACCAAGTCCTGGGAAAGGGAACAGTGCTTTTCATATCCAGAAGTGCAGCACTGGAGATCCTATGGGTATTCCATCATGCAGGGTCAGAGAGGTGACAACCAATTTTTCTATTGTATCCATGTGACTGGAAGAACAAAATCCCATTGTAGGAGTAATGGCATGCCCAATAGCAATTCTTGTCTATTGACAAATTCTCCTGGATTTCATCTTGTGAATTCCCAAAGTCCCAATTTTCTACAAGTTAATCCACTCACATAGACAACATAACATACTAGAGTCTGGATTCTTTCTCAGACATATTCCAAATCCCATTACGTGAACAATACTACCAACAAAAAGTGATTCTGTTTCCTAAAGTCATTTCACAGTCCTAATATACTTGGGGTCTGTCTAATCCTCATGTAAGTAATATGGGACCTTTTCCTAAAGTGAACAGAGCTGGAAAGAGTGGGAGAACAAGAACAAGAATGGCCTGAGAGCATATTAGGCATCCATGGTTCAAACCAAGAGGACAGTAGCTGAGTTTTAAGACTTACAGGTTCATGGGTAGGGTCAGCTCAAAGAGTCATAAATTGGGCAGCCATCACAATGTGAAATAAGACAGAGCTATATCAAAGCTAAACGATCTCCTTTCTCACTTGCTTCATTTTTTTTCTTCTTTTTCCTTCCTTTCTTCTTTTCTTTCTAAGACTTTGCATGATCTAAACTATTCCTGATGCCTTAATTCTTAATTGTATCTACTCCATATTTTTTGGTATTTTTGACACAGGGTCTCTCTGTGTCCTAGTTTGTTTCTTCATTGCTGTGACCAAACACTCTGACCACTGCCAACTTGGGGAGGAAGAGGTTTATTCAGCTCACATCTCCTGGGTCACAGTTCATCAGGGAGCCCAAGGTAGGAACTCAGGGCAGGAACCTGGAAGTAGGAGCTGGAGCACAGGCCATGGAGGAACGCTGCTTACTGGCTTGCTCCCCTCGCCCCTGCTCAGCCTGCTTTCTTACACAACACAGGCCCATAAGCCCAGGGGTGGCACCACCCACAGTGGGCTGGGCCCTCCCACATCACTCAACAATCAAGAAGGTGCCCCATGGACATGGCCACAGGCCAGTCCAATGAAGGAAATTCCCCAATTGAGGTTCCCTCAACCCAGGTGTGTCAAGTTGACACTAAAGCTATCCAGCACACCCTGCAGCCCCGGCTGGCCTGGAACTCAATATGTAGACCAGGCTGGCTTTGATTTCATGGAGATCCACCTGCCTCTGCCTCCTGAGTGCTGGTATTAAAGGCATGTACCACCAAGCCTAGCTCTACTCCAGATTTTACCTCAATCTAGAATCTCAAAGACAACTCTCAAGTGGATTTTTTTTTAAACTTGGATATCCAGTAGACCCGACAGATTCAACATGACAAAACACTTGATCTTTTCCCTGAATTCATCTACCACCTCAACCTCTACTCTAAATACATGTTCGCCTAAAAAAAAAAAAAAAAAAAAAAAGTCTAGAAGGGCCAGAATAACTTCTTTTTTTTTTTTTTTTTTTTTTTTTGGAGAAAGGGTCTCATATAGCATAAGCTGACTTCGAATTCATTATGTAACTGAGAATGACATTGAAGACCTTGGAATTCTGTCTCTTCTATCTCCACTTTCCATTACTGGGATTATAGATCTATGCTACCATGTGCTATATATGTGCTGGGGATCAAACTTGGTTTCATACACACTAGTTAAGCATTCTGTATTCCTCCTCTTAGTTTATTTTTTCAAGAATATAACAAGTATATGCTTTGCTTTCCCATGATACTTCCTGTTGCCTTGTTTGTTGTTGTTGTTTTTTCAGGAACTGAGGACCAAACCCAGGGCCTTGAACTTGCTAGGCAAGTGCTCTACCACTAAGTTAAATCCCCAACACCCTAATAATGTTTCTTAATTTAACTCTAATACACTTTTTGCAATCAGATTCTCAGGACCAAACTTGGGATTTTGATTTGATAAGTTTTCATGTTTTTCTGTATTGTTGATATTTCAGTGGGAAGTGGGGAGAATTACTTTGTCATATATATGTATGTATGTATGTATGTATGTATGTATGTATATATGTATCCTGAATATCACCAGAGAGCCAGACTTAGGTTTGTTGGCTTTCAACTAATATTCCATGGGCCAATCAAGTTGGATAAAAATATAGTATTGTAGGAGAGATAGGCCAATGATCATTAATAGCTAAATACAAAATGGAAAGCACATCTTATATTGCCAGGCATCTGTCAGCCTTCCCTTACCCATGTAAGTATTAATGGAATTCAGGTCATAGGGGGTAGGAAGGAGGTAGCCAGAAATACCTTTTACCATGCCCAGAATTTGAGGATTTCATTTTACGGGGCATCTGTACACACAACAATGACTGGTAAACAGCTGCCACAAAAGACATCTATTTTGTAAGTATATACGAATTCACAATTAAAATGTATTCATGACAAAAATATATGAAACCTATTGGGTTTTCTGTGTATAAAAATTTACTATATTGTACTGATCTTCTGGCTGAGAAGGAAAAACCAATTTGCGTGGCTCCTGTCAGTCACATGTGGTTTGGAAATGCTTATGCATTCCAGATACACTCAGTGTAAACCGGAGAATCATATCCTATTTCCACTGGTTTGCATGCATGCATATAAAACTTGTTTTTCCCACAGTGCCACATGAAAATAAGTGAAGAACTAGCAGCAGTGATCACAATTAACGTCTTTGTTGAGGGTTCACAGCTATGATGGTGAGGGGAATTCTTGTTCTTTGTCTCTACAGAGATTTTGACTTCTGCTTTGTTGATTTTCCTGTTCAATTCTGTTACACAGAACATTTAAAAAATGTCATATATCACAAGTTTTTCATACCTGCTATGTGCCAGGCCCTCTGATAGGTACTAAAGGGTGCCGAACAGAACTCCCAATATAGGGAGCCCAGAGTTTAATGGGGAAAAAACAATAGGTAAAGAAATAATTACCGTTCAACGTGGTGGCTAATTTGTGCAGTTTGTGTTATATATTGTTTCCCATGGAAACAGTGAGGGAGTTTGCCAGAGCGTCACAGAAGGTAAGTCCTGATGCTGAAGTATGAGCTGACATGAAGGAGGATTGGACAGCATTCAAAAAAGTAGGAACATTATGTGCACAGACTCATCAAGAACACATGGTTTAAGGGCCTGAAAGAAACACTGTGTGGCCTAGGGCCAGACTTAGAGCCAGCAGAGAAAATAACTTGAAAATCCATGAGAAAGAAGTAATGATTACAAAAGACTATGACGATTTTATAGTCTGTATTCTTTTGTTGGTATTTGGATGTGTTTTCCCAAAAAGAAGACATAAAAATTGCAGGTGAACTCACTAAAGTTACAATGTCCAATATCCAGATCCTGTTCCTCACTGTGTCCCTCTCCCTGACACTTATCACAGTACTTGGGACCTACTTGGTGCTCAATTAGCATAAACCACCATCACTGTATATGGTAAGTAGCCTCTAAGATGGTCCCGCCCCCCCTTGATTTGTGTCCTTACAAACCCTTCCCCTTTATTATAGGCTAGACTTATTAATTCATTTCTAGTAAGTAGAATATGCCAGATATAGTGAGCTACAGTTCCCAACATCTGAGCCATATGAAAATCATTAGTGAGAAGTTTATCAAGTATTTATCCTCTCTTTTTCTTTTGGATCATTAGCTACCATGTCTAAGATATTCAGACAGCTTATGGAGAGTTTCTCATGCAGTAAACTGAGTCATACCTATGTGAGCATGCCCACTTTCAACATTTTTGTGAATGAGTTTGGGTGTGGACATTCTGAGGTTTCCTAAAGTCTCAATGGTGAAATTGGAAATGAATTTCCCAGCTCCCCTTGACCTTAAGGTAACTGCAGCCTTGAGCAAAGGCTTGATTAACCCAAAGCCTGAGACACCTCCCTGAGCTGCACCTAGATTCATGACCCAGTAAAACCATGTAGATTCAGTGGGTTCAGTCACTAAATTTGGTATGACTTGCTATATAGCAGTAGAAAAGTAGTATATTCTACTAGTTTTACCTATTCTCTACCACTCTCCGGGTTGTTTTCTTCTATACCTGGGACAAACATGGCAGCACTGTACTTTATGCTTGATGATGGAACACTGTCTAGAACCTCGGTTTTTGTGATTAGGTTTCTGGTCACAAAGTAATAAGCAGATGGTCTCACCTCTCTTCCTGAGGGAAAGTACCTGTTACCCTTTGGGTCTAGTCATTTGATTATATCATTGACAGAATGTTCTATTCCAACTGTAGCACATTCTGTGCATTTTAAACTGTTTCTTGTCTACAGTACTGGGTGCATAAATGCTTTGAAATAAAATCCTTCTAGGTGCAGCTGGGAATTCAGTGACCCTCATCTGTCTAGATGATGACAATCACAGATGAAGACACATGTAGCCAATGTATTCCCCATTTCCATATGTAACACTAAATGATTATGTGACATGCCTTAGTATACAATTCTTAAATTTGCTGTATACACTGTCCAGGTGGGAACAAGTGGAAAAATATACATTGCTTAAGGAACACTGAGTTTTTGGCAGAGAACTTTTGGCAGTTTATATAACAATGTTGATTTGAAGTCAGTGGTTTTATATGTAAAAATGATGTTAAGACCTTGTCAAGATGTTAAATATTTACATAAAAATTATACTCAACTAAGGAAAGAAAAAAAACCTGTAAAACCCAAGTATAACTTCTTTAAGTTATTATTTGCTTGCTTCCTAGGACATTTTAGTAACTTTCAAATCCATTTTTTCAGTTCATGATTAAGCCAACACTGTATACAGTGCACTATGAACCTACAGGATAACAGTAATCACAGCTACAAAGGAAGAGAAAGAATGGAAAAGAAGAGCTCTGTACCTCTGTCCCTGATGATTTTGCTCTGGAATGCAGTTACTGAGAGCTGAAGGACTGATGTGGGAGGATGTCCTTAGAGCTACTGCTGAGATGCCCACCAATGGGGATGAGAAATTCAGCAACATGGAGGAGGTACGATGGGAGAGGACATTTGTATGACGGCTCACATTGATAACCAGTGGGTTATGCTGACATGACAGTTCATACGTTCCTAAAGAGAAATAATGTAATGAATCCTATTCTGAGCCATTCTACTAGAATCATGTTTCCATATTTAGAACTTGCTTATCCTCTCCATAGCTATCCAATATAGGCAAGATCGTAAACAGTATCAAGGGTTGACATCAAACTGACTCCTGGGTATACCAGATTATCCTCTAGTGACTCTAAAGAAATAATTCTCAGACTCACCAAGAGAGTGGTTGCTTCCACTGACATCAGTCAAGTAGAGGGTCACTGTTGGCCGCTGATGCTCCCCAGGGCCCAGGCCATCAGATGCCAAGAAAAGGAAAATTGCCATTGCAACTCTTGGTCTATCGAAACACACCTAGGTTTAAGCACATACAGCACAAGCTGTTATTTCTGCAGGCAAACAAGGTGTGGGTCCATCTCATTTCTGTCATTCTCAAGTCATTCTTAGTTTTTAGTAAGACCTTAATTTTCCTTAGCAAATGGAAAACATATAGAATAGGAGAAGAATCCAAGATGGCAGCCTACATCAAGATGAGATGGAGAGAAGATAATTGCAGCCACCAAGCACCTGTTCTCTGAAACCACTGCCACACTTTCATTTACTAGGACTTGTGTTTTTGTCATTCTAAGATAGGGTCTCATATATCCCAAGCTGACTTCAAATTTACCCAAGGAAGATCTTGAGCTGCTGATACCCCTGCTTCCATATCCCAAGTGCTTGGATTACAGGCCTACCTGACTTGGAACTGTCTTTTTAAATTTCTCAAGAGAACATTGCCTGGAGACACTACACATCTACACAAGCAATCCATATCCCTCTACATCAAAGTGAGAGAAGTGGCCAAATGACCATCAAACCAACACCTGGATGAACATGGTAACTGCCTCAAGATCAGAACAGGCATTTCCAGTTTTCCTTCCCTACCCACTTGCCACTCATTCCCTTCTCTCAGAACCTCTCAACATGGGAACTGTGATGTGAGAGGCTATTACAGAATCTATTGTTTCTAAGGTTAAAACTTGGGCTGGAGGTTTGATTCCCAGCACCCACATGGTGGTTAACAACCATTTGTAACTCCAGTTCCAGGGGATCCAATGCCCTCTTCCGACCTCCTTGGCATTGTTTGACACCAGTGCATCTACATACATGCAGGTAATACACTCATACACATAAAAAATAATGAAAATAAAATATTTTTTAAAACTTGCCAAACTTCTTATGCATGTTTAGTTTCTTTGGTCCCTCAAGTGATGTATTTAGCCCCAGCTAGAAAATAAGCCAACACTGAGGCAAGGAAAATTCAGTTGTTTATATGGCCTGTTCTGAGATAAATAAGCTGACTGATATAACAACAAACTTTCAGAGTAAACTATGAAAACTGGGATTCCTTTAAGAGAAAAGAAACCATTTTAAAGGTTCAGGGATAAAATGCAGCCATCCACTAACACTGTTATAAGGATTCAGACTTAATGCCTTTTTCCCACACTGGATTTATTGGATACAGTAATTGTAACGTTGTTTTATTTTATATAACTGATTATCACTTCAAATTTCTATTGAGAAAGACTCCTTTGTTTTTCTGGGTGTTATATTCTTAGTATCTGCACCTTACAAATTTCCATGTGCATTTTTGCAGCTTGTTTTTTTTTTCTTATCAGGTTCTAAGGGTGACGTCGTTCCAGTATAGATGACAGCACATCTAACTGGCAGGGACCTCCTCTAAAGCAAGGGGCAAGAGAGTAAAACATGTTTTCTATTTTAACAAGAAGTCTTCCTTGTCCACAGATTGGGATTTCCTGAGTCTTGGCAGCATGTTTATAGAGTATTCATTTGCAATGCTAGCTTAATTAGGGTAATTTTATGAGCTGCCGTGGTTAAGGCTGCCGTGGTTAAGGCTCCATTCTTCCTTTCCTCCTTTGAGGGAAAGACCTGTCACTCTCTCTTTACACAGTGTTTCCTTACACTCTTTTCATTTCTCTTCTTTGAAGTGATAAATAGTCCTTCATACCTTCAGATACATCCAGACTCATAGATTACAGTTTCCAATATGAAGTCCTCTGTCCCTGGGTGGGTAAGGGTTAGACATGAAACATATCCCAAGGAAACAAAGAGTCTAGTGAAAAGCTCTTGACCCCAGCAGCAAATGACATCAAAGTCTCCTGGGAACACCCATAACCTCTTCCTTTCCACATAACACCAAAGAGAACTGCAACTAGAAGAAGGCTCATTTCATGAGCCAGGAACAGAGGCCAAATAAGTACCTGGTGGCTTTACCACAGTAGGCCTCAGAACTGAAACTGGGATGACTTCAGCCAAGAACAGGGAGCTCAGACTCCCACTCACCCAAAGCTAGTTGGTAGAGGCAGGATTTATGTTAGGTGTGGGCTTTTTTATCCTGAGGGTCTACACCCAAAGCTTTCAATGACTTTCATATCTCTCAACAATATGCACCTCTGTTCTTTGACTGTTTGAATACCAAATCATTCTGAAACTTGAAGTCTGTTCCTGAAGGCAGTGTTTCTGTGTCATGCTTTGTGAGAGGTACAGCAGTCTTCAGGCTGTAGATTAGGCAGGAAAACCACAGGTGAGACTTATAAGGGATACTCAGTAAAGAACTGTTAAGCTACGTGAAGCAAAGAGATGAGATCTGATCAACTTCTGGGCTTCAGTGCCTTGGGCATTTCCTCTCACAGTGACATAAGAAAGATAGCCAAGTTTCATTCTCAACTGAAGCACAGGTATATATCCCACAGCAGCAACTAAAAGCACACAGAAGTGTAATTTCATCTACTGTTGGTACCTCAATAGCAGAGATTAGTCTGAATCTGCATATATGTGAATTATCAAGCCAAAGTAAGGTAAAGAGGAAATAAGATCGAATGTCTGGACTGAGAAAACTGGCCAAGCAGAAGCCCTGGGTTTGCCTAGCAGTTCAGTCTTTCCTAGCTAGATAAATCTGAGCAATCCACGTCTGTCTGAAGGTGGGGTTCTTCCTTCCCCAACATGAGGAATGGAGACACTATGCATCTTACTAGGTAGAGTAAATGAAACCACACAAAAACAGGGCAGCACAGCACCTGCTGTACAGTAAGGACCCCTTGTTCAACAGTTATTCCCTCAAGAAATGTGCTTTATCTAATTTGTATAATAGGGTTAAAAAGTAAAGGAATACAATTGTGAAATTAAACATACATTTTTATACTTAGATATATACAGAATTAGGCTTCTCAATACATCAAAAAATATTGTGTGTGCTATTATAAATGAATTCTTATAAAAATGTGAATTGGTTCTCAGGTTTGGGTTCCACAGAAGCTGCCAATATTTCAGTTTTGATACATTATGCATTTCTTTTTAAAAAAAATTTATGGAAATTTTGTGTCTTTCATATAGAGCATCAAAACCTTAATCATCTTTATACCCCCTTCCCCACTGGCACCCTTCCATAGCCCCCTACCCCTCTGGAATTCATACACTCTGTCATTTACGTTAAGGCCTATCATGTCAAGTTAGTGTTTCCAGGTGTCCCTCAGCGCAAGTTCATCCATTGGGGTCTAGGCAGCCTATCTAGAGCCCCTCCCTTTAAGAATATCAGCTTTCTCCCACCCAGCAGTAATCCTCTTCCAATATTTCTTTGACTAAGATTGGGGCTTGTTGCCCATTTCCACAGTTCTGTGCTGGGGTTTTGCTGGGGTTTTGTCTGCTTGAGTTTGCATAGGTTTTGTGCATGCTGACATCATTGCTGTAGGTTCATTTTAGCAAGGTCTCAGGAGTTTGTAGGACTCTATTTCTACATGGTCATGTACCTCCTCCCTGACTCTTACAATCTTTCTGCCCCCTCTTCTGCAATGGTCCCTGAGCCCTGGGTGGGTGGAGTTCAATATAAGAGTCCTAATCCAAGGACACACTCTGCGAACTCTTACTCTCCACACTTTGGCCATTTGTGGCCTTTTGTGTTCCTGGTCCTTTGTTGCATGAGGAAACATCATTAATAAGAATTGAGACATGTGTTAGTATTCTCTCTATTCTTGCTCTATGTTCCTTGAGCCTTAGGTATAGAGGTTACATTGTAGATCAGTCACTTAGGCTTGGGCAATTCATAGACAATCTCTGACCAGTTGTGGAACTCTAAGAATTTCTGTCTATTGCAAAAGAAGCTTCTCTGGTTAGTAGTGACTGGCATAGTTGTCTATAAACATAAGGATCCATATTTTGCACATAGCAAGAAATTACATTTGTCTAGGGATGTGACAGCCTTGGGGATTTCTCTAAGATCTACGACCTCTCTAGCCATGCGTACTTGGCTATGTTTACAGGACCATGCTAGGGTTTCCTCCCAATGAGTGGGCTTTAAGTCCAATTAGGTAGTTGTTGATTACCCACAAGATAAAAGTGCCGCTAATGCACTGATGTCGATTGCTGTGCCAGTCATTGATGTGATTTTTAGGCCTTGAAGCTGGGTTGGACCATAAATTGATGTTCTCCCTTAGCAACTTGCGTACTACTCTCCAAAGTTATGAGAGCTAGCCTTCAGGAGAGGTAGCTTCCAGGTCAGTTCTAAATCCTGTATCATAAGTATGTCCTTTCTTCAGCTATAGGGTCTTACCTTCAAGTTCTGAGAGGCAATCAAGGGCTTTGGCAATAGCCTGTGTAATTTTCGGAGCCTCTTAGACTACTCTGGCCAACAACTCAAAGGAAAGATTATGCCTTTCTATTTTAAAATAAAATCTATAAAATTACATATTATATGTGATTATCCTGTCAGACATTTTAGAAAATTCAGTTTAACATGTGTCTATTAAAAAATATACTCTTGCTACACATAAGGACATGGACATTTTTATAATTAATTGTATAATTAGAAGCTTATTCCATATTCAAAGATATTTTAAATAGTGAAGTCTCACAGATATACATACCCTAGACTATTTTTCCTTTATATTAAATAATAAATTTTATGTTCTTAGATATGAAAAATGGCATCTGGGACAGAAAATTTGGTGATGGGAAATTCTACTACCCTACCTTGTATCACTTTGGCCACTGCAATTTTGACATTTTCTGGTCACATATCAAATGTATAGTTGTCCACAGCTATCCCCCTCAGGACAAAGCTCATCGGAATCAACAGACTCTCAAATCTGAGATGTGTACTTGCGCCCATGAGAAAATCCCAAAGTACTAAGAATTCAAAAATTGTTAGCATTATCTGCAACATTCTTCTATTCATTGTGGTAAAGTGACCACATGCCAGATATGGGCACCATACAACTAATTTGAACTTGACTCCTGTAAGGAAGAATAACTATGGCTAAATTACAGGAAGAAGGCAAGATTTTTCAGAAAAACAAGGA